CTTTTTATTTATTGGTTACTATATATGTAGGCCTATTTGTGAAATATCAATCAACTAAAAAATAAATATTAGGCTACATATATATTAATACATATTACATTACTATATTAAATAAAATATTAAATAACCTATGCAATTATTGAAAATCTATTAGCCTGTTTATAAGTTTGTTTATCAATTATTATTAATCTATTTTTAAAATGTTTTCTATACTGATCAATGAATTTTTTTGCTCATTTTCACTTGTTAATCGTGATATCTGGCAACCTGCTGTTTCTTTCAAAGACTACCCTAACAGACGTATGCAAGATGTCTGTTAAAGATCTCTTCATCTGGAAAAGCATCTGCTATGTACAAACATCTGACAGACGTCTTTAAGATGTCAGTTTTACATTCATTCTAAATCATAAACATCTTAAACACATCTTCTAAGCGTCTATTTGACTTCTGAAAGGAAACGTCCTATAGACGTATTGCAGATGAGCAAACACTCTAAAAGATATCTTGCAGATGTAAATGCAGACGTCAAATAAATGTTTAAATGTACTTTGTTAATTCCCACAGTTGATCCAGTTTCGTTTTCTTCATTAACATGTACTTTTGCAGTGACACCATTCAAGGACGTGGGTCCTAGTTGTGCTTTTCCTCCCCTAATTATGCACTTAATATGCAACCCAACCTTGAGATGTTTCATTTCATGCAGTAGGTATTTATGCAACCTATTATTTTTTATCTCAAGGATCAGTCTCTCTTTAAAGTTTGTGTTAAGAGTATGACACCTGATTTAGCAGGAATTTCTAAATGGTAACAAGGCACACACGCACACACACACACACAGATCGTTTAGTGATTGCAGATCTCGTAAATCTGTCTATATGTCAGCATCTTTACATGGGGGTACGGTATATTCTTTTCCTGCCTGCTCCAATGAGCCACTGATTTTCTCGTATTTTTTCTTTGGTCATGTATTACATAAACTCATTTAGAAAACAAGCATTCACCCGTTGATTGAGGTTGTTACTGTAACTCCAAGACAATTAGCTTGAGGTCAGATGAACTCTGCTATTTAAAGAGGTACTTCTAGATTA